TGACCCACTTGGAATGTGATGAAATAAATAAAAGCTGAAATAAATAATTCTCTCTACAATTATTCAGACATTTCACATTCTTAAAATAAAGTGGTGATCCTAACTGACCTAAGACAGGGAATTTTTACTAGGATTAAATGTCAGGAATTGTGAAAAACTGAGTTTAAATGTATTTGGCTAAGGTGTATGTAAACTTCTGACTTCAACTGTATATGACCATTTTATGAATGGTATAATTGAGTGATATGATTGCATTTTGCAGACCCCCCCCCCCCCCCCCCCACCCCCACCCCGCAGCCGAAGCCTGCCAGCATCTGCCCCAGTATCTGTAGGTTAGAAATGCAGACATTGAGTATGACGTGTCTCCTCTCTAACCCCACAAAGCTCTGATTCAAACTCCCATTAGACCGCTCTGCAAGCGTTATAATGTCAAAATATGTTAATTACTCACCAAATATGGAGTTTCACTGAGCAACTATCTTCATTTACTTACGGTATGTATTTCCAAAAAAGGTCTAAATAAAAATGTACAAGGGGAAAACATAGTCAGTTCCTAAATGTGTCTTCCGCATTTAACCCAACCCCTCTGAATCAGAGAGGTGCAGGGGGCTGCCTTAATCAACATCATTGACGCCCGGGGAGCAGTTTTTGTTGGGGGTTAACTGCCTTGCTCAATGGCAGAACAGCTGATTTTTCCTTGGGGATTCTAACTAGTGACCTTTCAGTTACTGGCTGTACGCTCTTAACCGCTAGGCTATCTACAAGCAACCGAAAACATGCCTGTTTAGCACCCCCAATGTCATTACTGCCAAGCACAGGTCTGAAGTCTATAACAAGCAGCTCAATACATTGGACAGTGGAGGAAAAAGTACCCAATTGTCATACTTGAGTAAAAGTAAAGATACCTTAATAGAAAATTACTCAAGTAAAAGAGAAAGTCACCCAGTAAAATACAATTTTCAGTAAAAGTCTAAAAGTATTTGGTTTTAAATATACTTAAGTTTAAAAAGTAAATGTAATTGCTAAAATATACTTAAGTATCAAAAGTAAAAGTATAAATCATTTCAAATTCCATATATTAAGCAAACCAGATGGCACCATTTTTTAAATTTATTTTACGGATAGCCAGGGGCACACTCCAACACTCCAACATCATTTACAAACGAAGCATTTGTAAATGATCAGAGGCAGTAGGGATGACCAGGGATGTTCTCTTCATAAGTGCGTGAATTTGACTTTTGGGTTTTAGGGAAAATGTATGGATTAAAAAGTACATCATTTTCTTCAGGAATGTATTGAAGTAAAAGTTGTCAAAAATATCAATAGTAAAGTACAGACACCCCAAAAAACTACTTAAGTAGTACTTTCAAGTATTTTTACTGAAGTACTTTACACCACTGACATTGGAGAGGTGTAGTAGGATGTCCCTTGTGGGTATCCATACCTATGTATGACATTCTGAAGCTAGCAACTTGTTGTCGTGCCTCCTTATTTTAGATAATACTACATGGTGTCAGAGTGGTTTTAATAATCACAAAACCGTGAAGGACTTAACACGTAAATCATAACTCCATGCCGAAAGACTGTTTTAAAGCAAGGAGGGCACAGTTTTGCAGATAAACAGCGCAGATCATCATTGAGCTAGCTAACTAGCAAGGAATAAGTTACTGCTAGCAACATGTTACAAGAGGAAGAAACTGGCGGGATTTCAGCGTTTGCTCTCACGCAAACATGGACAGGCCAGTGGCTAGTGCTGACGGATTTCGCATTAGCCTCCGGAAAATGTTGATTGTATGGACATTAAAAACAGGCCGAAATGGATCAGGCGCTTTGAAAGGTACAGAGTAGCTTCAGCCTTAAATGTGAAAAATGAGGCATTTCAAGTTAATACACTGATTTACTCTATGGGTGATGAAGCCGGGATATATTAAATGCTTCCCCGTTGACTGAGGAAGAGAAACATCCATAAACTGCCGTTAACCTTTTAAGGATCGGACCCTTTTTTTAAAAAATTTCGCTTAAAATGACATACCCAAATCTAACTGCCTGTAGCTCAGGACCTGAAGCAAGGATATGCATATTCTTGATACTATTTGAAAGGAAACACTTTGAAGTTTGTGGAAATGTGAAATGAATGTAGGAGAATATAACACATTAGATCTGGTAAAAGATAATGCAAACCAAAAAACATGCGTTTTATTTTTTATTATGATATTTGAAATGCAAGAGAAAGGCCACAATATAATATTGCAGTTTAGGCGCAATTTAGATTTTGGCCACTAGATGGCAGCAGTGTGTGTGCAAAGTTTCAGATTGATCCAGTGAAGCATTGCAATACTGGACGATTTTGTATCAAGTCTGCCCAAATGTGCCGAATTGGTCAATTGATACATTTTCAAGTACATAACTATAGAGAACATACAACAATTATTTAGTTATACAAAATGAATGTTAGTTTGCAAACTCCCAGGAATGTCATACATGATGGATCATTAGCTTATACACTAACTTTCACACATCTAGATGGCCGGGCGGGGTGGGTGTGGAGCCAGAGACAGCAGGGGTTCAAACTGTAGAACCCAGTTCCTACATTTGCCTATAAAAATTGATTTTATCAAACAAAACCATGCAAATGTTTTATCTCAGGGACCCTTAGGATGACAAATCAGAGCAAGATTACTGAATGTAAGTACATTATTTACCTTCAGAGGTGAATGTATCAAACCAGTTGCCATGATAAGATTTTTATTGTTGTGCACACTCCTCAAACAATACCATGGTATTTTTTCACTGTAATAGCTACTGTAAATTGGACAGTGCAGTTAGATTAACAAGAATGTAAGCTTTCTGCCCATATAGACACGTCTATGTCCTGGAAAGTTTGCTGTTACTTACAACAGTCATGCTAATCACATTAGCGCACGTTAGCTCAACCGTCCCGTATACGGGACACCGATCCCGTAGAGGTTAAAGACTGTACGCATTTCGTAGGGAGACACAACATTATATTTGCGAGAGCTAGGTTTAATGTGTGCACACAGGAGCAGGGTGAAACCGTCAGTTTGGCGCACTCAGGGAAGAACTGATCCGAGATCGGATTGTAGTGGGAATTAGAAATATCTCACTTTTTGAAAAGTTAGTTGGATTCACTGCTTACCTTGTCCAAAGCTGTAAACTAGGTTAGGCAGAGTGAAACAGTAAAAAAAAAACAGCAGGTGATGCTGTGCAGCAGCAGTTCTATGCAGTGTGACGAGTGAGGAAATACATGTGTTTTCATACCGTGCTAAAAAAAACGGAGCGCTCAGGATCTCAGACTGGGAACAACGGAGTTCTGTTGTTCAACTGGGAACAGAACAACGGCCCTAAGCACACATCCAAGACAACACAGGAGTGGCTTCGGGACAAGTCTCTGAATGTCCTTGAGTGGCCCAGCCAGAGCCCGGACTTGAACCCGATCGAACATCTCTGGAGAGACCTGAAAATAGCTGTGCAGCGACGCTCCCCATCCAACCTGACAGAGCTTGAGAGGATATGCAGAGAAGAATGGGAGAAACTCCCCAAATACAGGTGTGCCAAGTTTGTAGCGTCTTACCCAAGAAGACTCAAGGCTGTAATCACTGCCAAAGGTGCTTCAAGAAAGTACTGAATAAAGGGTCTGAATACTTATGTAAATTTGATATTTCAGTTTTTTATTTTTTATAAATTAGCACAAATTAAAAAGAAACTGTTTTTGCTTTTTCTTTATGGGGTATTGTGTGTAGATTGATGAAAGGGTAAAACCCCCCCAATTTAATCCATTTTAGAATAAGGCTGTAACGTATCAAAATGTGGAAAAAGTCAAGGGGTCTAAATACTTTCCGAATGCACTGTATAAGTAGACTTCCTCATTCTTCGGAGGTGGAACCTAAACGTGCGTTTCCTCTTTAGGACAGGAAATTACGTAGAAATAGTGGCTGGCAACTTACTCTGGGGGGTCCTTTAAGTAAACTATATTTTTCTTAAGGCAGTTACAGGTGTTCCATGGCCATCGATGCCGCCGGAAAATGTGAGGCCTGGTTGGTATCAGTCCATTCTTTATTGCATACCTTATACCTATATTTGTAATGTGTAAAGACGTTATTTTCTTTGGGTGCTGCAATACGTAGTTACAAAAAAAAAAATCATTTTACGTGACCTCTGCCAAGTATCGAGTGGTAGTGCATGTCTGGATTACGCTGCGCAATTTGACAGAGGTCAAAACTACAGATTGCAGCACCCAAAGAAAATAATGCCTTTACAGAGGACAAACATAGGTACAAGGTATGCATTAAAGAATGGACATTTTTACAGGTATCGACTGATACCGACTCAATGTAGTTGGAAGTACACTCCGCCAAAACGCATTGCCACTCAACTCCATTGAGTATCGTGGAGTTGAAAATTCTCAGCTACAGTGATCATAAATCAAATGTAATTTTGGTTCGCCTTTGCTTTAAACTAACTTCTTGCTAACTAACGTTAGCTAGATATTGTCTCATCCTAGTGAGAAAGGTGACGGTAAAATTTGTCAGTAAGCTAAAGCTAACCCAAAGTTTAAACTCAAAATTGCTAACGTTAGCTATCGTTGCCATCGCTACAGCAATGTTAGCTAGCTAGCTAAATGTATTAGCAAATTCCTAAAGGATGGAATATTGTGCATGCATGGTCTATCCCTTAATTAGATGGCTAAGCTGTTCTAGTATTTTTTTAAACTCACCTTTCACTTGTTGCACTTCCTCCTTTGGATCCATCTCTAGCCTTCCATGTCTGAACCCAAGTTTTCAGAGTCCCCCGGTTCTGACTGTGGTGTTCCAGCCCAGAGAAACTCACAGCGGGGTCCAGAGATGGTCTCAGTGAAGCTGGAGGACTTCTGTCAACCGCTGGAACTCAATGTGATTGTTAAAGAGGAATGGGAGGAGAGAGAAATCAAAGAGGAGAGCGCAGTCAAAGAGGAGGTAGAGGAGGAGAGAGGAGTGAAAGAGGAGGTGGAGGAGGAGAGAGGAGTGAAAGAGGAGGTGGAGGAGGAGAGAGGAGTGAAAGAGGAGGTAGAGGAGGAGAGAGGAGTGAAAGAGGAGGTGGAGGAGGAGAGAGGAGTAAAAGAGGAGGTTAAGGAGGAGAGAGCAGTGAAAAAAGAAGAGGAGAACAGGGATGTGTCTGCTCCAGATCTAGAGGAAGAGGAGGAAGAAGTAGATAGTATCAGTGACCCAGGTAAGTTCAGGTGTGGAGTACGGAGAGAGATTGGTGCCTTGGATCTAGAGGAAGAAGTAGATAGTATCAGTGACCCAGGTAAGTTCAGGTGTGGAGTACGGAGAGAGGTTGGTGCCTTGGATCTAGAGGAAGAAGTAGATAGTATCAGTGACCCAGGTAAGTTCAGGTGTGGAGTACGGAGAGAGGTTGGTGCCTTGGATCTAGAGGAAGAAGTAGATAGTATCAGTGACCCAGGTAAGTTCAGGTGTGGAGTACGGAGAGAGGTTGGTGCCTTGGATCTAGAGGAAGAAGTAGATAGTATCAGTGACCCAGGTAAGTTCAGGTGTGGAGTACGGAGAGAGGTTGGTGCCTTGGATCTAGAGGAAGAAGTAGATAGTATCAGTGACCCAGGTAAGTTCAGGTGTGGAATACGGAGAGAGGTTGGTGCCTTGGATCTAGAGGAAGAAGTAGATAGTATCAGTGACCCAGGTAAGTTCAGGTGTGGAGTACGGAGAGAGGTTGGAGCCTTGGTGACCACAGGGGATTCTAAAACTCTTATTGTGTTTCTGCTTCAATCAACAAGTATTTTAAAGCCCCCTTAGATGCTCTGTTCCTGATTCTAACACAATATCTGTTAATATTCCCACAGGAGAGAACTCCAACCCAGGTTCAGACAGTGAGCCCAGTTCCACAGCATCAGGAAACCATAAACAACACAGGCAGAGGAACTCAAGACAGAAACATCATCACTGCATGGACTGCTTCACTAGTTTCTATGAGCCAGAGGAGTTGAGAAGACACACTTGTAGGCCCCGCGCCTGCTCAGATTGCAGAGGCAGTTTCATTTGTCCAGCTCACCTCAAACCACCACATCAGACTGACAAAATAAAAAAGACTTACCCGTGTGGCCAATGTGCAAAGAGATTTCAGACACCAAGCAAACTAAAGACACACCAGCGAACTCACACAGGGGAGAAGCCTTTCTACTGTTCCCATTGTGAGAAGAGTTTCAGTCAGTTAAGCCACCTAAAGGTACACAAGCAAGCTCACACAGGAGGGAAGACATACCACTGCTCCCAGTGTGGGGAGAGTTTCACCAGTTTATATTTCCTAAAGAAACACCAGCTAACTCACACAGGAGAGAAGCCTTATCATTGCTCAGATTGTGGGAAGGGTTTCAGTCAGTCATCCAATTTGAAGACACACCACCGAACTCACACAGGAGAGAAGCCTTACCATTGCTCTGAGTGTGGGAAGGGTTTCAGTCAATCATCAGATCTGAAGAAACACCAGTTATCTCACACAGGAGAGAAGCCGTACCACTGCTCTCATTGTGGGAAGAGTTTCAGTTTACCATTAAACCTCAAGACACACGTGCGAACTCACACAGGGGAAAAGCCTTTCCACTGCTCTCAGTGTGGAAAGGGTTTCAGTCGGACAGTACAGTTAAAGACACACCAGATAATTCACACAGGAGAGAAGCCTTACCACTGCTCTCAGTGTGGGCAGAGTTTCACCAGTTTATATTTCCTAAAGAAACACCATTTAATTCATACAGGAGAGATATCATACCAATGCTCTCAATGTGGGATGAGTTTCAGTCAGTCGGTAGCTTTAAAGAAACACCAGCTAACGCACACAGGAGAGCAGCCTTACCCATGCTCTCATTGTTGGAAACGTTTCAGTAGTGCACAAAAGGTAAAGACACACCAGCTAACACACACAGTAGAGAAACCTTTCCACTGCTCTCAGTGTGGGAAGAGTTTCAGTCAGTCAAGCTACCTAAAGAAACACCAGATAACTCACAAAGGAGAGAAACCCTACCGCTGCTCTTGGTGTGGAAAGGCATTCAGTCGGTCATCAAATTTGAAGACACACCAGTTAAAATATCACAGGCCTGACACCGGACAGAGTTCACCTGCTTTTGAAAAAAGTAAACTACAAGGAAAATACAAGTAAACACACCTTATTATGATGTATGATTTATCCATTCCACTTGTTATGCTACAGTAGAGCAAGGGTTCTTGCATTATCCATCACACTACTTGTCTCTGGTCATCTCGATCAGTGCTCAGCATTTACGTAAACTATTGTCTTTACCAATTCAACCATGGTAACATGTTTTAAACCTTGAGTATCATGTAATAAACCCAGAATGTCTGGTAATAAAGTAAGGTATTCCTGGGTTTCATAGGTAAATCAATGGTGGAGGTGAAATAATCATTTTAGTTAGAAAATGCTAAATTGAATAGGGTGACAACTTTTTAAACCTGGGTATCTTGTTATACACATTGTATATTATGTAATACAAATGATGGTGATCAAAGTAGAATATTCAAATGGGCAGCAGGTAGCAACTGGATGGTTGCCAGTTCGAATCCCAGGTCTGATGGGAAAAAAGATTGTCTGGAAGTGAGCCGGCAACAGGAGGGTTACTGGTATGGAATCCTTGATGCCATTGTCTGCCGTTGTGCCCATGAGCAAGGAAATTAAATTCAGCCACAACAACTGCTCCACGGGCGCCCAGTTTGGCAGCCCCCTGCTCCAACCTGTATATGTACAGTGCATTCGGAAAGTATTCAGACGCCTTTACTTTTTCCAAATGTTGTTACGTTACAGCCTTTTTCTCAAATTGATTAAATAAAAATGTTTCCTCATCAATCTACACACAATACCCCATAATGACGACGTGAAAACAGTATTTTTTTTTAGAAATGTTTTAAGAAATACATTATATACATAAGTCTTCAGACCCTTTGCTTTGAGACTCGAAATTGAGCTCAGGTGCATCCTGTTTCCATTGATCATCCTTGAGATGTTTCTACAACTTGATTGTAGTCCACCTGTGGTAAATTCATTTGATTGGACATGGTTTGGAAAGGTAGGCCTCGAAATACATCCACAGGTACACCTCCAATTGACTCAAATGATGTCAATTAGCCTATCAGAAGCTTCTAAAGCCATGACATAATTTTCTGGAATTTTCCAAGCTGTTTATAGGCACAGTCAACTTAGTGTATGTAAACTTCTGACCCACTGGAATTGTGATACAGTGAATTATAAGTGAAATAATCTGTCTGTAAACAATTGTTGGAAAAATTACTTGTGTCATGCACAAAGTAGATGGCCTAACCGACTTGCCAAAACTATAGTTTGTTAACAAGACATTTGTGGAGTGGTTGAAAAACGAGTTTTAATGACTCCAACCTAAGTGTATGTAAACTTCCGACTTCAACTGTAAATGATAATGTTTCAGTGTAATCAAGGTATGAAATGATTGTATTTGAAAATAACAATATATTTTTGGGCTTAGTTGTGGTCAATTTGCAGTGTATTATAATTATGTTCCTGCCCCCTGATCATACGCTCTGACAAATATCGGCCCGCGGCTGAATCTATTATAGTTTGAAAATTCAAACATATATTTTATGAAAATATGTTATATGTTTCTGAAAGTTGCATCATGCTGCATTGTTGACAATATGACTGAGCAGCACAGATTGCAGTTCAATTTGAGCAGGGAGTGAATCCCCTCAGTGGAATTACCCTTCACAACAAGTTGATTCAGCTGAACCCGCTGTGTTAGTGCTTGGGTGGAACAAGAGCCTGCACCCCATGTGGATGGGCTGTCCAGAACAGGAGTTGCAGGCCCCTGATATACTGTTATTAACTGACAGATGTCATTAAGCAGTTGCTTAAACTGTCAATTAAAACTGTTATTGTACATATTTGACGTATTTTAGCAGGGTCTTGGGAGGATTGAATAGTAACTCTTCATCCAATATATTTTAAGTGTGCTTTAAACGACTCTGTCTGTGCTCTCAAAGTAGTTTATCACCACATACAGGAGTTTGGCTGAGACACCCCACAGCCATTAAAACTCTAAATCTGGATGTGAAATGTCACATGTTGTGACATGGATCCAAAAAACAACCAGGCTTGGCTCAGTTAATTCAGATCTTATTTCCCAGATCACATATCTCGCTGTAAATCTATTACGGTGTCAGCAATGTGAGGACCTCATGGTCGACTAAGAAGGTCAAAATAATGTGCTGGCCTGTATCGGATCTCCCTGTGGTCCACAGTATAGGTATGAGATCTTCACCTTTCAGCATGCAGTGTGAAGTTAATGGAGGGCTAAATGTAATATTAATCTAACACATTTACAAGGATAAACACTTGTATCAAATGGGGAGCTGTTGTGTTTTTCAGCAAGCTTTACAGATCTTTGGACAAACAAGTCCAAAAGTATTACTCCCTGTTAGTGGCCTCCAACCATGGCCATGATCCAAAACTGGGTGTCAGAAATACACGCAGCCTGAAGTCATTAGGGATTTGCTTTATGACCCTCAGTCATAGAGATGGTATCAAACCACATCGGCTGAGCTGTTCTTGAAACTCCAATTTGATCCCATAAAGTCGACGTCAGAGTTACAAGAAGAGTACCAAAGCAACAGATCATTTACAAGCCCACTATGGCCATGTTCAGAAACGGGTGTGTCAGAAATCCCTGAACTCCCCTTCAGCTGCAGCTGTTGGAACACAAGCGTCTCTGGGGGAGCAGGGGACTCGTCCTAGCCAAGCCTTTTGGAAGAATCAGGACGAGTGACAACCCAGAACACTAGATAGCCCTATCAATGTTTAGAAGTTAAACACTTCACATCCAGTCGAACAATTGGAAGACTGATTTAAATCATGGGAAAAATTGAGTGTTCCTGTCTGCCTGTGAATGAGTTGAATATAAGGTTGTCCAGTTTAACTGCTGTTTTGATAATAGCCTTGACCTCTATGGCAGCTGTTATATCTGGTCCTCTGTAGCTCAGCTGGTAGAGCACGGCGCTTGTAACGCCAAGGTAGTGGGTTCGATCCCCGGGACCACCCATACACAAAAATGTATGCACGCATGACTGTAAGTCGCTTTGGATAAAAGCGTCTGCTAAATGGCATATTATATTATTATTATATATCTGGGATGACTGAAGACCTGATGATAGGAGCCTCTGCTTTATAGTCCTGCAATTTATCCCACTTAAGAGTAGGCTCAACTTTAATATTGCAATTACCTCAATAATGTTGTACTCAACCTGTTGTATTGGAACCAGGGTTGTGTTCATTAGGCACAGTGTAGCAAAACATTAAGAAGCTGGCGGCCACCGGCTTCTTAAGTAGGCATTGATCAATGCTCAATGTTCAATTAAAATCTTTCTACCATCACAACTAAACCAATATGACAACAATTTGGATGAAACTTTGCAAATCAACTTGAATGAAGGTACACAACACACTCCATGCCTCTTGTCATGTTCGGTTCAGTGGCCGTTACAGAGAACCTCATAACGGATTTTTAACAGGGCCGTTAAATGTCACAAATGTTCCATCTTTACTCATTTTTTTCTCAATTATACTTTAACATAGAAATGACAAATATATGTCAACAATCCTTCCTCCAAAAGACCCTTCTATGGCTTAAATGTTGTAAAAAATAATAATAATGGTATTTTATTGTTCTAGTTTGGTGAGGAATCACACCAATAGCTTTCCAATAGCTACAATAATACAGACTATATCATGATAAAAATATAATAATAATGCCATTCAGACTGTGACTTTCTGTCTAACCTTCCTTTCTCAAGTAGTTAATGCTTCATCTTTCAGAACCTGTTCATAATCCACTTCCTTCTTCCTATTTACATGTTGAACTCTAAATCTGAAACTATGAAAATTACAACATTGAAATAACCAACGGCAACAAATACAATAGGGTTTCATGCAGCTTCGCTTCTTGAACCCCTAATGACATTTTT